TTTCCTCGGTGGTTCGATTCAGATCGCTGAGTTAAAATGCTGAGTTAAAACTCATTTTCACGCCTGAGATCCTGAGTGCTTTAGATCGTCTTTTATAATTCCTCTTCACCTTTTCATCTTCCTTCTTAAGTGAGTATAATGTTAATGGCTGGGATGGGTAAGCTTGGTTTCATCAGATCTGAGGATTTACTTCTTGTCATGTCTCTGGAGATGCCCTGTGTCTTTTAATAGACGAAGGCTTTTATCTGACCACTGTGCCATAAAGAAGAGAGCAGCGTTTTCTGCCCTAATGTTTCTCCATCTCACCAACAGAACTCGGCTCTATCTATGGTAACCATCAAACCATTAGCTGTCTGAGCAAGGAAGGCCCTTCACATTTTGACTTTTAACATCAGATTGATGGATACACCCGCTCGTTTTGATTATCTGTCGTGCTTCAGAGCTCTAAATATGTCAGAAATGTTCTTGTCCTCGTGACGTCCGAATCTGAGCTTTTCAGTAGCTACAGTATGTTTACATGCACAGAATTTTTTGATTGGATTGAAATATATTTGGATAAAATAATTCAAATGTATCGTTTACATGAGCACAATCCGTTCACGACGAGCGTTTACATGCAGCGGCTTTTATTCAGAATAGAAGTACTGACGTGCGCAGAGTGGTGAACTCTCCTTAAAGAACCACAGAAGAAGAAGTGCTACTTCCGGGATGAACGTAAACAAACCTGAGCGCCCAAAATGGACCCGCGACATGTTTTAACGTTGGTGGAGACGTCGCTGCACTCCCCGACTGAGCTGCAGGTAAAACAGATCATCTTGAGCTCTTTCAAAGTTTCTAGTAGAAATGTTGTCGCTCACCGACCAGTTCTGCTTCCCCGACATGCTAATGCTATTAGCATTAGCCAGGCGGAAACACGTGAGGTTGACAAGTCGCACATGCGCAGTCAAATCAGTTTTCCCCGATTGGAATAAAATGATCAGATTAAGTGTTTACATGCACACCGTTCGGATTAAGAATCGGCAAAACCACCCGTCTCATCCGGATTACAAATTCATTCGGATCGAGCTGAATAAACAAAGAATAATCCGAATGGGGCGTTTACATGACGCATTGTTATTTTGAATGGAGCGTTTAATCCAATTACTTATTTCCATGTAAACATAGCTAATGACGTATGAGTCAACTATTTTTAGAGATTTTGTTTTCAATGTTTGCTACACGATGGGCTATATTGTTAGCCTTTAATGATTCTTCTTCACTCATGTATGCTGTCTGACATGGACGCAAGCACATTTGGTGATTAATTATGCTGGTGTGATATTTTGCATTAAATTGTCTGTTGCTTTTTAATAAAACACTGATCCCGGATGGATGGAGCCTTATTTATGTCCACAGGCTGTATCGGAGCACCCGTAAGCGCCAACATTTCACCATCAGATCTAAGGACGCATGTGGGAGCGCTGGTTCCAAGATTCTGTTTCAGAACACAGAATTAATTGAAGGAACTGTGTCAGTGTTGCTTCTATCAGCGCATCTTACCTAAAACTTTCAGTGATATTTTTTTTTTCTTTTGACATGGTCATGGATGACATATTCTGATAAATGCATAAAAAAATAAAAGAAGAAGATGACTAAAGAAAAATATGAAGAAGACAAATACACAGAAGAAGAAGAAGACTATGACAAATACAAAGACGACGGGAAAGAAGAAGACAAATAGGAAGAAAAAGATTTTTGATTTTTAACAAAACTTTATTGACACAATAAGTTAACACAACAGTGTTAAAAAAGGTGATCAGGACAAGCTTAAAATAAAATATTTGCATGAGGAGCTTGTTGTATTGTTGTCCCTGATCAGAACTGCTGCATAAAACCTTCTTAAACCCCCACAGTTTCACAAAGTTCTCCAGGTGTCCAGTGTCTCTGTGGAAGCAAAACTCCAACACCAGTCTGGCCTTGACGTTGTACTTCCACAGAGCCACGGCATCAAGTTGAGGTCCAGCCTGCGGTCTGTCCCTGCGAGACAAGGAAACAGACATTTTTGCTTCAGCCACTAAAAAGTTTAAAGTTTGGGATTTCAACTTAGTGGCTTTGCTGTAATATACTCCATTAATAAAAATAGATTTGGTGAAAGAAGAAGACAAATGCAAAGAAGATGTATACGAAGACAAATATGAAGAGGAGGAAGAAGAACAACAACAAGAAGAAATGTAAGTTCCAAACACCAGAAATGGGGAAAGCAGGCATTTGAATGAGGTGTGTATGCTGTTATTATTTCTGCTAATGATGCACCTCAGACCGAGCTTTTTTGTTACACTAATGACAACCTATAACAGCGGATGCTTTCATCCCGGAGTTGACATTTGAATTAAAAATACACACGAGTAAGATATGATATTAGTTTCTTAGGGAGCAGACAAGAATGAGCAAAGTGCAGACAGAGACCACCCATGATCAGGATGCTAAACTCTGCTGTGTGTCTTCAGGGCACAAAAGATGAAATCAAAGCCTGTAATATTGACTAACTCAACAAGAAAGGAATGGAGTTGAAATAAGATTTTGTAAGGTTAACATTCGTTTTTATGTATTTTTCAAGTTTTTTTTTTACATAGACTATGCGTACAGCAGCATCAAGCCTTGACATTTCTTATTTATTAAGCCCAGCACTTTCTCCTTTTGCCCCAAAATTACTTAAAAGTGAGCTAATTATAATACAGAAAATGTCTGAGTAAGCCAAATGGCAGATAAGCTGTTAGACTTATCAGGCATTGGCACAGATTTTTATGGGATACGCACATCAGCAACCAGAACCAGCGCACTAGTTTATAGACGGTTGACGGTGCCAAGGATGACTGGTGACAGCTGGGTGCCTCTTATTCATTTTAAGGGTCATCAACATTTAATGTTACATTAGTGGCTTCGCCGAATTCCCTTTATCTACTGCGACAGTGTTGATTTAATTATGCACAGCAGTATAGCACTCGTTTTGGTCAGCTGTGACACAAAGAGACAAAGGGTAAGGTAAAGGAGACCATGCCTCTCTACCTTACCACGAGTTTCCTGGCCTCCTTTGATGTAGAAGAAAGTGACACAGAGGTGCTGTCTGGGGCTGTGTGTACAACTTAACACACAGACACGCACAGAGTTATGAAAGTAGGTCCTTTCTCTAGGGCTGAACCCCTTAGGTATCCCCTTTCATCTGCTTTCTTTGTTCCTGTCGCTCCCACCATTTTCCAAACACATACACCAAGAACACAAACTGACATATTGGATCAGCGTCAGGTGCACAGCACAAAGACAGAGCCAGGAGTAAAACAAGATATGACGGCAAGGTAAGACTCTGCCCATACATCGAAAAACTGACAGAAAAATATGGGACAGAACTACACAAATTCACCTTCTTACCAAAACACGAACAGCACTGAAACTGTAGTGACAATTCATGACCCATATTTACACTCCATACCTGCACATACTGCACCCTTCAAATCTAAATGGTAAATGGACTGTACTGATACAGCACCTTTCTATCTTGTCAAGACACTCAAAGCTCTTTACAACAATCTGTGCCTCATTTACCCATTCATACAGCTCTCTGCTAGATCTCTACAAAGAATAATCAGCGATTTATCACATTCATACACCAATGGGACGCACATCAGAGGCTATGAGGGGTTCAGTGTTTTGCCCAGGGACACTTGGGCATGTGACTGCTGGTGGAATCGAACCCCCAACTCTTGCATTGGAGGACGACTGCTCTAACCAGTCAGCCTCAGCTGCCCCTATTATATCTAGTAATGCCCATTTCTGTTATTTTATATAAATTTGTGTTAGCCATACCTGCAATTGATCTCCCTAAATCAGAGCTGACACGTTTAAAAACTCCACAAAACTCTAAATATCTGCTGCGGCGTCTGAAACCAAACATTATGCAAATGTTTAAGTCCTGTTAGTTTAAAGGTGAAGCTTTCAATCTTTTTTTTTTTTTAATCCAGCCCACTTTGAATATTCTTAACTGAACGGGCCCAGTGAAGAATGTAAAGGCCAAGTCAACACCTCAGATACTTTGTTCATAAAGTTATCCTCAGACCCTTTTTGCAGAAAGGATGAATGCATTAGTCTGCCTAAAATAAAATAAATATATAAGGAAATACTTGTTCCATTAAATATGGGTTGTTGGTTAAAAGCTATCTTTAGCTAGGTGATCCCACTAACGTATGCTTAGGTGGCAGGTTTCAAGATTTCACAGTAGACTATTGTAGTAACTTGCCAGCAGTAAACTTTCTTACATAGTAACTTAGTGTCACTATTTCCTCAGGTAAGTGACACAGATCGATCCACGAATTCACATCAAAAAAATTTATTAGACAAGGTCTGACATTCGCGTGACCACTGGAGCCACTTTTATCAGTAGACGTGTCAGTGTAGACATTGACTGGTCCATCGCTACTATCCAACTTATAAAACACATTCTGAGAGTTCTGTTTCTGACCCAAAACATCACCTTATGTTCGATAGGACATGAGCATTAACTCACCTGAAGACCTATATAATAAAAGGTACTTTCACAAAAACAACCACAGAGACCAGTCGGTCTTTATGCTGCCATTGACCGCTCGCAAATCACCATTGCCGCCAACCACATCTCACATAGACATGAACTTTTGAACATGAACTTCTCTGAACCGAAAGAAAAGATCCTGATGAGTCATGTGAGATTAATCTGCATGTGGATTTAGCTGCACAATGGAGCATCTTATGCAGTTTAAAACTTAGAAGTCCACACTCTAGTTTTGAACTGAGAAAACTCTCTGGATGGAAACCAAAACATCTCAAGTCTATTTCCATCCATGTTCTGGATAACTAATCTAAACCAGCTTCTAGAAGTACAGAATATTCACTAGTTGCTGACTGCATCCCTGTGCCAAGTGTCAGCTCAGCAAAGTTTGTATTTTCTATACATAATTTACTTAATTTATTAAAAAGTAAAAGGCTCTTACATTGATGTCTTCCAGGTTCAAGAAGTTCAGATATTGATTGTTTCTCTTCCATAGGATAGGAGGTCTCCGCTCCCCTGTGATGGCACAAGTCAAAACCGCACTCTGTCCGACTGTCGATGTTGTGATGCTGACCTTCTGGTCTTCTGGAAGGTTGAGCAGGAAAACATCTGTTCAGAGCAAGAAAATATGATCCAGTGTTAGAAATGTTGACAATATAATTCAAAAACTAACCCTTAAAGCCAACAAAATGGACATTCAGTGAACACCTGTCTGTTTGTTTGGGCATTTAAAAGCTATTCCTATAGTAACTCCCCTCAGAAAGAAAAATAAACCAATTACAAATGATTCGTGTACCGGTATCTTTTTTCTGTTTTCCTTTACGTTTGGTCAGAGATTTATTGAAGCAGCAAGTTTCCTGCTCTGTAAATATTTGATACTTTAGCTAAAAGAACAAACCCAAGAGTTTCAGGAAGCAGCGGTCTTCGGCTGATTATGGAAGTCTCATTTTACACGTGCTCCTTTGTAACTTGAAGCTTGATTATTTTTAACTCGTCTTCTGAAAGTCTAAGACAAGCCAAGTTCTCTCAGTTGTTTTAAAGCCCCAGATGAAAAATAAGTTACTTTCTGATGAAAGTAATTTGGTGTATTCTGATAGAAACGACTGTTTAACTTCCCTGATTTTCATTTTTATTTCTACATTTTTTTACTTGTGTTTGGCGATGAGTTGTATTTCCTGAAAGTATATATATATTTTTTACCAACACAATCTTTGCAACAAAGCCAGCCAGGGAGGACTGATGAGAGGTCAGTATCACTGTGGTTTTGTGTGCTTTGTAGAGATGAAGAGTGCGATGTACACTCTTTCATTCTTTCAAATTATGTAATGCAGTCTGCAGGAGGACATTTTTTAATCTTTCTCTTGGGTAACGGACAGTACAGCAAAAGGAAACAGACTCAATTTGTTCTGCTTCTAAGGGCATGAAATACAAAATCTAATGAAAAGAAAGTCCAACAGACAGTGGTCGCTCGCCACAGCCCAGAGAATAATGATGAGAACACCTTTAATTACAAAATGACTCCAGTGGTCCTCAGACCAGTGGCTTCCTTTAACTCTTCATTTAATGTTTTCATCTTTTTTTTGTACCTGTAAATGTAGCAAAAATCTCAGTCCGACTGGAAGCTTAAAAAAAAACAGTTACTTCTTATTGCAAAGTTGCAAAACAAGATCTCAGTCAGCTGCTCTGACACTTGATATGACCGACTGATGCAATAATCTGCCAGTGAACTCCAGTTTCGTTGAGTTGATCACAGACTGCATCACAGTGGTCCTCAGTCGGAAAAGCGTGGATTGTTCTCTTCGGATCGAGGGTGAGGTTCTGCCTCAAGTGGAGGAGTTCAAGTATCTCCATGTTTTGTTCATGAGTGAGAGAAGAATGGAGCGTGAGATTGACAGATGGATTGGTGCAGCGACTGCAGTATTGCATACCAGTCTGTTGTGGTGAAGAGGGAGCTGAGCTGGAAGACAAAGCTCTCTGTTTACCAGTTGGTCTAGATTGCTACCCTCAACTCTGGTCATGAACTCTGGGTGGTGACTGAAAGAATGAGATTGTGGATACAGGAGGTTGAAATGAGTTTCCTCTGCAGGGTAGATGGACTCTCCCTTAGGAAGGGGGTGAGAAGTTCAGTTATCAGGAGAGACTCGGAGTAGAACCACTGCTCCTCCACATCCAGAGGAGCCAGTTGAGGTGGTTCGGTTAAGAATGGTAAGGATGCTTCCTGGGCACCTCCTATAGGAGGTGCTTTGGGCATGTCTGACTGGGAGGAGATCCCGGGGAAGACCCAGGACATGCTGGAGAGACTACGTCTCTCAGTTGGCCTGGGAACACCTTGGAGTCCTCCCAGAAGAGCTGCAAGAGGTGAGAGGGATATCTGGACCTCCCTGTTCAAGATGCTGCCCTGAGACCTGAGTCTAGAACAAGAGGAAGATGATGGATGGATGGATGGATTACAGCATGCAGATACATATTGTGTTTGCACTCTCCGCTGGATTTATAGTTTTTCTTATTTTGTCATAAAAAAAGAAAATAAAAATGCTTAACTTTTTTTCCAATGTGTGATAAAGTGTCCTTGGTTGGCCTACATAAAAATGCAGGAAGATTTCTCAACAAGAAAAATGTTTGCTTTCTTTGCTCTTAAAAATGTTGTGTTTAAATAACAATAAACCACGTTTATCTAGCTTAATAAAATGTACATTGTAATGTGACATAAGTTGGACAGGGTTGTCTTGATTAAAACATTTCACAATAAAAGGACACAGATCATACAGTATTTATACCTTTAGTCACTCCTCATTTCTTTTAACTCTTTTTACAAATCTATATGCTTAAAGAAAGGATGTTCTTCAGGTCAGGCTGACACAAACAAATACACCTCGTTAATACCAAATATAAATATGGACATTAGTTGGGACTCATCTCTTCATTAGGACATCTAGTTTGAATAACATTCATTTTTAAGAACATAAAAAGACAGACTTTTACAATATATTTTTTTTACTTTTTTGAATGCAGCAATTTCCCTCCAGATGATCCTTTGCCTCACAACTACATTACTTAACATATTTTACTTCAGAGCCATTTGGTGCAACTCATTTGATGATTGTAGAGATATTTGTTTATGATAAAGAAAGGAAAGACCATATTCAGTGGACATGACGATGACGGTCATCATGGGTGAAACTATGCAGTAATAACAATAATAATTTATATATTTTTAAATCAAAGCAAATTCTTCCTGGTTTTACTCACTTTCCAAAATATGTATTTAATTTGCGTCCAGAGGAGCATTTTTGTTCCTTAGCTCCAAAACGGCTTTTTCAGCTTTGAAATAAACTGTTTTGGGATTTGGAATAAACTCCTAATGGATCAAAAAGTCTGTCTGCAACAGAGATTGCCACATTTCATGAATTTAGAAACTGTAATTCATTTTAATATCTGGAAGGATGAAAGGAACTGAAACTTTAGAGTTACAGAACAAAAACTCCCAGAATAAGAAATAACTTTTTTCCACTCGTATTTGCTCACTCATCGTTTCGTTCATAAAAATCAGAGAAATGCAAATAAACCAGATAAATAAAGCTATCTTGGGTTTATTGTACTTCTATTGTATTGCACTTAAAAAAACAAAAAAAAACATACTAAAATTATGTGGTAACTTCCTGATTTAGATTTTTTTTTTATTCAAACATATGGGTCTAGATGTAAATTAATTAATTCAAAGTTAAAAAAAACAGTGACAATAGAGTTTTAGCATGAGATCGTCTTAACTTGAAAAATGACAGCGTTCTGGCAGATTTGTTCAAAGCTCTCATTATCTTGTGAATGATTCACCCACTAAAACATCACCTTTTAGTTCACTATCTGTAAAACTGACAGAGTTCAAGTCCATTCTGGTGATGGCTGATTATATTTATTTGTGGCGACCACTGAATGAGACTGATTTTAAACGATCCCTTTGAAATATGCATTCAGTGACTATATATTGAGATTTCCTGATTCATGCTCAATGATCCAGGTAGACAAATCCAACAAAGTTTCAGTCAGGTCCTCTGGATGGAAAGAAACCGTCCAACCTGACTTAAACTTTGTTTGGTTCATTAAATCTTTTGGTAATACAAGCACAAAAAAACTTTATCGACCACATTTGCCTTTTTGGCAGCGGGCGACGAACATGTCTTCCAAACCCAAATCTCAGAGAGCGTCTAAAACACAGACACCAAACATTAGAAAAACCTAATTTGAGCAACAAAAGACGATTAAGATGTTAAAACTGCTATGAGACAGACTGGAGCGCTGGGAGGAAATGGATCTTCCATTAGCCACACATGGATAATCAGTGATCTTCCTCCTCCCTCGATGTTGAGAACATGCAGCAGATCCACCGCCACTCTTCAGAGTGCTGAGGTGGTGGTGGCTGGATATGCTGACAAAAATCTCCTTCAATAATGTCCTTCCTAACCATTCAATTACAGACCCCTTGTATCTTAATGCTTCTGGAATACGCTGCAAGCAACAAACTCGATTTGCTGCTGATCCCCGGAGGGGATAGAGATGTGTGAAGTTATACTGAGAATTTAAAGAAGGAAGTCTGTATACTGTGGGCCAAGGAGGCTCCATCACAGCTTTAGCAGCTGGGTGGAGGGGGGTGGATGTTAGAGAAGGGAAGAAAGAAATGAGGATTGGTATCCAACCTGAATGAGAAACTCTTCAGAGAGATGGAAGTGTGATCCGATGGAGCTGGCTCAGCCCAGCACCTCCTCTGTGAGAGATTTATCGGCAGAGGAGGTGGCATTGGCTTCTCCTTTTGGACTGATTTGAGGCCTGAGGGACTCAGCCCTCCAGGAAAGAATCAACCTTCACCACCCAACCTGTAATTAGTGATTAACGGAAAGGTCCAGACTTTTGATTTACTCTGCACTTCTCCCAGGATGGGATGTTGGTCAGTGACATGGTGAGAGGTAAATCACCAATTGTTCCAAAGGCAACAAGCTTGTCAGAGAAAACTGCCTGAGCCTGGAGGATGCTGTGAAGGGCCGGCAGCATGAAGACAAATTGCACCAAGGTTGCTTAGCCAACCCTCTTACTCCATCTTCCATCATGCTCTGTCGCTTTCTTTTTCAAACACATGCTCACTCACTTTGTCTTCCTTGACTAACTATCATTCCTCTTTTCACAGTCTTCTCTCGCTCTCAGTGATGTTCTATATTTAATAAAGCTTCCAAATAGTTTTGATCTTGATGTTTAACCATTTGGATTAAAGCTTGCTTTCCCCATGTTAAGTTTAATTGCTTTCAACCTTATTATTCTTGTTAAGAACAAGTTAAAATGATACCAGTGACAGTTCACATTAATCCAAACTTGTACCTTCACTCAGCTTTAGATGTGATTTAAGAAACAATAACTGCATTACCACGTTGTAAAACAATGGAAGAAAAGCAGAGTTGATATAAATTAAATAAAACCTAATGCAGCCACTTTTTGTGAGTATTCAGAGGAGAAATAAAGCTCGACAGAAATTACAGCAGCAATTACTTGCTCTCAGGCTCCAAACACCATTATCCCAACACAATTTATGTACATGTTAAATTGGTTTTAACAGATAGACAGCA